GCTCTCTAAGTAGGTGATGAATGTACTGGATTTTTTATGCCAAAGTTTCCTTCCGATGAAAATGGCATGTGCCTCCTTTACATACAAACTCTTTTGGTATTATTCAAATTACAAGAAGATTTATAGAGTGCTGTAAAAGGGATTTAAGCTACTTTGCTATCCATCTGAAGGTTATTTTATCAGAAAATTCAAATTTACCTTCATCAAACACAGTTTTTACTTCTAGCTTATACAAATCTTTTTCATTCTGCTATTAGGATTTCTGAGAAGCCCCTTAAAATAGTAAAAAAAATGACCACAAAGTTAAATATTGTGACTGATGATCACCATCTTGTAAAGAGCCTTCTAAGAGTTAAACAGGAGTTTATTTATTGTTGTTGAGCTAATGCCCTTTTGTCACCTATTTAGGATTGTTCAGATATGAAATGCCAAAACCATGGTGTTTACAAAATAACAAAAATAAGGATGTGAAGTGTAATATGCTTCCAATATTTGTATCTTATAACAGAGCTCAGTAAAAACATGCAGCTGCCATTCATGCTACACATAACAAAACAACCCCCCCCCCAAAAAAAAAAAAAAAAAAAAAAAAAAACTTTTTTCCAGTGTTTTACTGTGTCATATATGAATAAGCCTTTAGGCATAATCAAGACTCTGCTATCTGGTACAAGTACGGTGCAAGGTAAGTCACTCCCTTTCATTGCTGCATTTGTGCTGAGTATTTAATAGAGGCTACATACAAATTCTCATGAATGATTAATACACATCAGATGGTTCTAGTCACTAACTCCACCATAATTCAAAATTTAATCCTCTTTATATACATGACCTTAATCCTCAGAGAATAGTCATGCACAATGATGACAAGACTTACAAAGCTACTCATCTTTCTGAAGACAGAGAACAGTACATAGGATCAAATGCATGAGAGAAGGCTTATACCAGGAAGCAGATGATATATTGATGTGAAGAGTGTAGTATGAGGAAGAAAATGAAGTTATGATGAGGGGAGACAGAATGAGACCGATTGTGGGATCCAGAGTGATTGTAAGAAAGGCATCATAACAAAGTTGTAATAGCAGGGAATTCAGAGATGATAGGTTATAGATTCAAAACCCATTGCTTCTGCTGATAGCCATAACATGTTGTAACAGAGATTTACTGGCATTTTGACATCACAAAATAGATAAATAGAGAGATACCCATCTAACTGCATACCTTTTTTAGCTTAATCTCAACTTTGTAACCCTTTCCCTACATTCAGATTCTATCTAGCAATCTAGGCTTTCTCTACAGTAACAGATGACAAATTATTATCTAAGATAATATGAAGTGATTAGGTTTGGTTTGCAGATAATGATACTTTACTTAAGCATCTCCCACTTAAAGTTAATCTAATGTGTCACATGGCCTATTTATCTAACTGTCATTCGATAAGGTCTTGAATAAACATTTGTGGGTAAACTTCAATCTCCTTTTCCCCCCTCAGTTTTCATTTCAGTAGAGTTATTCCATTCTCACTTAACAACAAATCACTTTCTTCAGGCATCCCTAAAGATGTCATTCTCAGAATTCATTTAAACCCAACATCAACAAGACCATGCCTTCTTAAAATGGGGTCAACCTCAATTTCACCACGACAAAACAGAAAGAGGGAAGGAGGTCTTTGCAAGATCCTCTAAAGAATAACAGAGAAACGTGACAACCTTTTACAAAGGTCTATTTTGGTTGGCTCTCCCAATTTTCATTCTCTATTCTCTTCCAGGGATGGTTCACATCTAATTTCCCGTTGGCCTTCTACAATGGCGCCAACGTGTCTGGCTGTGCATGTAGGTGACCAAGCTTTTTCAACTGGAACTGATCAAGAAGTGACTGGAATTGTGTTAGAGGCTCCAAGAAGGAGTTAATGACATTTATTTTCTCACTATATCACAAAGGTGGCAGGATACTTTCTTTCCTATTGAAAGCATAAGACCTTCTAAAAGGTGGATATTTTGAAGAAAAATGATTCCTTTGGAAAGAATAATTCCTTTTAAAAGAGAAATTTGTGGGACAGAATATCTCAACTGAAGAATCACTCGTTTGAGAGAATAAGTCAATTGGATGAATAGCATACCACAAAAAGTATAGTAACTCTGAATGAATATTAAAAAAAAAGTATTTTTAAGTGAACAACTCTTTCAAAATGGTATGTTCAGAATCCATTTCTTTCAGTCTACTAAAATGTACAACCGTACCAATGAGCTGATCAGCCTAATGCCTTGTGCCATTTCCAAGAACATTTTTTCTACAAAATTAAGTGACGAAGTGACCTTGTAAGAGAAGAAATTTCATTTTCAAACCTATTCAGTATCTTCTTACTTTTCCCATCATGCCAAAGGGTGCAAAAATCACTTTGCTCCTTCCACAGATGATTCACATTTCCATAATGGTAGTTAAAGTGTATCCTCAAGAGAAATATCAAAATCAATACCATTTTACAAGGACACAAAACACTTTGCTTAAAAAAAAGTTGTTGTAACCATTTCATTTTATATACGACGCATTGCACTGCGTAAGTCTTGTTCCAATGGCAACGATATATCTTATACAAACATACATGTATATTGCACATAACATTGAAAGCTGTTTTCCCCCTTCAATACAGTACTGCACTTATCCTAGAAATAAAAGCAACTTTGATGAAGGAAAAATTTTGCCAGGAGGGAGAATGAGAGAGATTGTGGGGAGAGGAGGAGAGATGACAACAGATAGCTGGAGGATGAAGACAGAGGACGAGGGAGGGATGAGAGAGAGACAGTGAAAGAGAGAGAGAGAGTCAGAGAGAGAGAGAGAGAGAGAGTCAGAGAGACAGAAATAGAGAGACAGAAATAGAAAGACAGACAGAGGGAGAGGGGAGGAAATAATGATAGGAAATACATAATTTATTGAAAAGACACAAAAGAGAGATAAATTTCCAGTGTGATTTTGGATAAGGTTGCTACATACCATCCACTGAGAGCCAGAAGGCATTCATTCATTCATTTCCATTTAATATGCACAGATAAAATCTAAATCATTATTTTCTTCCCTATTTAAAAAAAAGTAAAATAAAATATTGGAAATAAAATATATATCCCAGTTGACCAAAGGTTAAGAATACAACTATACCATGCAAACAATAGCAAATACGACTATGATTTTACTGTAAACCCTTAGCTTAGTTCTTAGAAGACCATGAGAGTGACGTTGGTCTCATAGGCTGTGGTTCAACTAGGTTGTAGAATTTGATTTTCTTGAGATACATGTCAAATGTTGACTGATATTTGGCACCCTTATCCAAACACAAACCTATGCGAATAAAATTTCAATTAAATCATAGCAAAATCAATTTGTAGCCTGCATGTACCCATACAGCTAAGCTAAACAAAACAGAACATAAAAAATAACATAGCATAATGATTACAACAAAAATTGTTTTCTACAAACATTTCAGGATATCAATATTGAAAATATGAAAGACAAAGTTATAAAAGCTGAATATTTGAGTGTTTTAGCATAAATTTTAATATGCATTGACCACTGTAAAGACCCATAATATCCATTAAGAGCAGTAAGATGAGAGAAAATCACTAGAATTTGTCAGAATAAAAGATGAACACAGAATGATGATAATCTTCACTTTCTATTTCCACAAAGCATTTCTATAAAATGCAGCTCAATAATAATGCTCTCTTGAAGTTAAATCCTAACAAGCATCTTTTGCAGCAGAAGAGTCAACTTTAGAGTATAACTCCATGTAAGTTATGCAAGGAACACACAGTTAAGCACCATCACATGTGCAAATTTCACAAATCAAAGACCTAGGGAACTATACCGGTTTAGCAGATTTTAACATGCTTCAAAGTGGTAAACATGCAAGATATACAGGTAGACATTTTAAATCTCATCTTTTACAAGTACCCTTAGTTCAAATTCTAGTCTGCTTAGCAAACATGAACAAAAGTTGCTGCACACGGGGGAAAGTAAAAGGATATCTGGTCTTTTTTTTCAGAAAAAGGGAAGATGACTGATGTATTCTTGGTATTGTAAGGGTTAAATGTTAGTCAGTACATGATCATAGGCAGCTTAAGTGCCTAGATATTTCTGCAGGCATAGACTTTGTGATTCCCTATACCATCACTCTTGTTTTATCCCTTGTGGAAAGAAAGACATTCACATCCATGTCCATGGAGGAAACAAACACCACCTGTCCATGATAAATATTCCATAAATGTTGAGATGGAAAAACTAGGCCACTATTTTTCAGCTCATGCTCAGGTCTAATGTATAATTTGTAGATGCCTTTAACCATCATTTTCCCCTATCTGTCATGCCGCAAAGCGAGAGAGAGAGAGAGAGAGAGAGAGAGAGAGAGAGGGGAGAGAGAAAGATGGAGAGAGAGAGAGAGAGGAGAGAGAGAGAGAGAGAGAGAGAGAGAGAGAGAGGAGAGGGAGAGAGAGAGAGGGAGGAGAGAGAGAGAGAGAGAGAGGAGGAGAGAGAGAGAGAGAGAGAGAGAGAGAGAAAGAGAGAAGGGTTTTTATTTTGTCATCTATCTACATGTATTTTCCCCACAAGCTATGGAATTATGTGTATGTTTCTACTCTAATGTCCTGTAACTTTATTCAACAGAAAATGAAAATTTGACTCGCCTTTCCTAGAAGGACTTGAAAAATTTGTCAAAACAACCAAAATAATGTTTCAAAAGGTATGTTTTCATGTAGGCGGTGAGGAATTCTTACAAACTTATTTAAAACATGCATTCACATTAAATTTACCAGTAGACAACTCGTTAATTTTAGAACAGATAAAAGAGATACGCTACCTTAAAAAGACCCTAACATACATTTTACAACATAAATGGTGAAATACAATACACACTCCTGTTTTGCATACACTGATATCAGATTTTCTTTTGTACCCAATGTTATACATCTATTAAACAGTTCTACAGCGAGGCAATAGTGTTTGTAGTGTTGGGGGGGGGGGGGGGGCTGTGATCCGAATCAAACATAAATTTTGTTTAGTAGCTCTGGATTTCAACATTTCTTTCCTCAAGACAATTCATGAATTGGTAAGTGGAGAAATTCTGCAAGGGGACAGGTTCGTGATAGTCAGCTCTGTTTCATTCAAAACCTGGATTTTGGTCTGCATCTTTTAGCTTCTTTTTTTGCGCCGATTGCCTTGAGGCATACAGGTATGTCATACTGGGACGTCTTTAAGGTAATGGCTCTTTTCTCTCGTCTTCTCATTTTTCTGTCGTCATCAGGTAAAAAGCTGGCACAGGCATGTTACCATCGATTTGAATCAATAAAGAGGAAGACATCTGCAGACATGCATGTAGGGGTGCCTTCTTACCATCTTGATAATGGCAAAGGATCGACCTCCTCTTTAAACAAAATTAAAATGATTAGAGCACAGATTTTGACCCATTGGCTATGATTTGATGTTGATATCACAAATATTTTCCACAGACTACAAGTTCTGCCTTTTCCGACTTAATAATCAACAGGTTAGCATAATGTGGTGCATCTATAAAAAGTATTTTTGTAAATAATTAATTAGCCCTTATAGCTCATGCCACTACAAACATCAGGAATATGTAATTTCAATGTACAGTCTCACTGATAGGGGATGTAACAACATATGGAGAGGTGCCACTTTTAGAATAACCTCTCTTAAAAGTAACTTTGCAGAAAGTCAAAGCATAGTCAAAACAAAAAGTTCTGGAAAAGTGGAAAGCAATTGCTTATGCTACAAATAAATAGAAAAAAAGTATAAGTCTATATAGTGAGATCTTTTTCTTTTTAATTATAAATGTCAGGGACATTGCATACATCACCTGAATAAGAAAAAATAAAATAAAAACTGGTCAACAGTACTGTATCTATTGCACAAGAAATTACTGGTTGAGCCTGTATTTTATACAGGTAGGTTTCCTTTTTGAACATTGGAATGCCTAACAACCCTATATATCTGGGGTTTTCTGAATTTATATTTATGTATGACACATGTTTCACCCATATTTCTTGGTGGTCTATATCCTACATTGACCGAACTCTTCACTTCAACTCTCTATTAATTACTAACACTAATCCTAACCTAAAACCCAACTGCAACGCTACATCTTTTGAACAAAATGAAGCCTGAAATAATTGTCACCAGAGCATATTACGGAGTAGTTTTCTGATCTTCATGATCTTCCATTGAGAACTAACACCAACATCAGGCAAATCTTTGATTTGAAAGTATGACTATGACTAGTCATACTATGACTATGACTATGACTAGTATCCAGTTTGACCGCTTGGGTCAACTGCCAGTAGTTGTTTGTGGCTTAGCTTGTTTGTAACTCATTAAATCCAAAGTGTCAAAAGTCCAGAAGGCACTACCATGGATATCTTTAGAGGTCATTCACAGAACATGATGACTGATGAGACAGGACTGTTATCTCCCATGGAAAAGATGATCAATATTGGTGTGAAACCAAGCTTCCTTTCACAGTAGCCTCTATTATAATAGCCTTCCAAAGAAGAAATCTTGTTTTCCAGTATCTTTTAGTAATTAGAGCAAGTTTTAGAGTTGTCCGACAATCATCTTGCTCATGGCTGTTGTTTATGGAACATGTTCATGTGACATATCATCAACATCCTGTTCTCCGATTCCTTACACGAAAACCAGATAATTGTTGTATTTCTGCTGGAGGGGTCATCAAACCATCCAGTCATAGCTCCCCGGATGTGACGGACGGGAGGTAAAAATCAAATTATGCTTACACCACTCTCCACCATTAAAAGGTTTGGCTGAAATCTGATCGGCCAAGTGCTTAAGTGTTCCATGTTGGGTGTTCAGAAGCAATCTAAGCATAGTGGAAGCAAGACAAAATGTTTATAATTCAAGGATTGGTTTTCCAGGTAAAAAGTTTTTTGGGTGCAGTCTACTGACAGAGTGAGAATTACTGCTGTACATTGTACTTAATATGATGGTTAGCGGGAAGTCTATGCTACATTTAAAAATGAAGTTCAGTGTAATGTCAAACATAGATCTTGTAGGCAGTACATCAAAGGGAATTTGACATCCTGTTTTCCATGTGTCATCTTAAAGAGAGTTACTTGGTATGTGCATTTGATGTGTGAATTGATACTCAATTAAAGATGATCTCTATTTTTCTGGAATCATGGACCCAACATTTTCTCACAGCATTACATTCACATACAAGTGCTTTGTTTGTCCTAGCATAAATGGAATTCTCTTCCTTATTTTGATATATATCTTTAGTTCATGAATTAGTTGTTATGTGTAATTTTGTTGTATTAATATTGTAAAGCGCATTGCTATTTTCTTCGAAGATGAAATGCGCTATATAAGTCTAGGTTATTATTATTATTAATATTATTATTATGTTAACATAAATATAAATATTTAGAGTCATGGATCAAGTAATACAAACATTAAGAAAGAGATGAAATATCAACAATAAAAATAGAGAAATCATGGTAAAACAGAACATGAAAACATAAAGAAAACAAGATGTCTCCTACTTTTTACTAGTTGATAGGGATAATAACAAAAAAATTGAAAGAGAAAGAAACATGTATTTGGCATAAATATGATATATCATCGGTACAGCAATAAACAACTGCAGTACACACAATTGGCATAACACAGATTTAAAAAAAAAATGATTGCTGCATTTCAAAATACACATGTGCACCATCATAAAATAGACTTTCAACACTCCTCAATGTGAAAACAGTATTGATATACACATTCATAATCCTTATGATATATACCAATAATATCTCTTTCACAACCATAATTCAATTCTTCTAGGATCAACAGTCATCCATTTTTTTGTTGCCAAGTCCGTTTTCTTCATCGCTTGGGTTCCACTTGATCCGGTGAAGTATAGTGATCTTTTTTGCAGTTGAAGAAATATACATATTCACATCTATTTCCGTTTTCATAAATAAGAAGGGGGCATGTCATGGGATAGGGTCCAATATGGACTTCATGCATGTCATTGTATTGTGCAGTTAGCTTGGGGTTGGCAGCATGCGCATCGGTCAACCATCGGCCGTGGTGGGATCAAGTCAAGCTCCTCATCGTCAGGGACCTCATCTAACCGGAAGCCGTCTTTGAGCAGTTGCTGTCGTAGGTCTTGTGTCGTCTGCAAGATGGGCAAAATAAATTGATTGGGAAACAGCTTATGAGGGGGCTTGTCAGAATTTTGTTTAAAGGAAACCTCATCCCACAGAATAAGGGTAGGTATACTGAAAGATAAGATGTATTCCCTCCTTCCGATGTACAAGAGAGATATATAAATGAAGATATTCTTGGCATGATGTAATGCCTTTGAGCATGACATGGGCACAGCCATTTTCTTGATAATGTGACTACCAGGCAAACTTGCACATGTATCGTGTACCAAGCTTTGGTTGAATGTGCTCCGACAATTGTAGCTATCAAGAAAATGGCAATGCCCATGTCTTCCTGAGAAACTGTACATCATGCTAAGAATATCTTACTTCATACCTCTAGCATACACTTTGGTGGGGGATCTTGTAGATTTATGGGGAAGAATACAACTAATCTATACAATTATATCAAGACATATCAGCTAGTCCCAGAAGTTAGTTGAATGATGTTCAAAGTCCACACACATATATAATGCATGAAGTGGGTATTAAGATGGATGATTGAGATATGACCTTATAGTGTGTCTTTGTACACTCAGTTTACAATAAGAATTCTACCTTTAATACATTTCAAGGCATTCAAACCAGGTGCTTAAAGAAATGTACTATAAAGGAGTTGCTTATTCATACCTACTGACAATAATATTTGTGTTTGGGCATGCTCATTTTAACTAAACCTAAATACTATCCTCAAATCTCATGCACTTTTACTGACATGAAGAACAAAATGCAAATTATTATGAATTAGTTTTAACATTAACATGACTTTCTTTTAAGCTTTATATACAACATCCGGTAACCAAGAAGTAAGATTGGGATGATTGTCATATTGATAGGATAATATACATTGACATACCTGTGAAGGAGTTGATGATAATGCCACAATGTCAAACTCATCCTCACTGTAAAGATAAACATAAACGAGAAAAACAGGAAAATATTTAATAATTGAATAATCTGAATTTCATTGAACTTCCTGACAAATCACAATTCCAGCCACAATTAAACGTTATGAAATTGGGCATCTCTCATCAAGGAAACCCAAGTAACAACACAAGGTTGCAAATGATATTCCCTGTAATATAACACGGCAAATATGAATAAACAGCATTCTTTCAGTTTATCTAAAAATAGTAGAAGCAACACAATTTCACAATTTTGGAAAGTAAAAACATTACAATAGCATGTTATGTAATCTGTACAGGATTTCTATGGGATATACAATAGGGTTATTGAATCTGCCCTTGAGCTGATTTCTTTAAAATGTTTGCACTCACAAATTTCAGGTTTCATTTATATTTCTCTCTCTCTCTGTCTCACCCAATGCCTATATCTTTGTTAACACCTCCATGCTTCCCTTAACAGTTACGGGGAAAACGCGAGGGACCACAGCCAAATTGCAAAAACTACTTGATGATCTGCATTTCTAAAACATTGAATACATTTACAAATCCTTTAAATCTATTAGATATATAAATGAAACATGGAATTTGTAATATGTTTACTTTCAATGTTTCATTGCATCATACTACTTTTGTACTTTCAATAAATAATAATATAGATATTTATATAGCGCCGGTATCCGCCAGGCTCTGACGTTCACGGCGCTGTACATATTACAATCACGAACATCACTAAAATAAGACTAAGAACTGCTGCATTTATTATATTATTTGCACTCATTTCCTCTATGTTTGAATGATGGGGGTGGTAAAACTCATCCCTCATCTCTCCTATTTATGCCATCTAATTCTTTACATTTCAACATTTATCGCTATGGATTACCTCAGAATTTGCCAGAGCCCAGTTCCCCGGAGCCATATTAGGAGAGAGCTCCAAACATAAATGAAATGTAATATCACAACCCTCTTGTAATAGCTATTTATCATCCCCTTTGCAATCAAACTGACACATGAAGGATAAATCAAAAGAAGAATTTTTCTGATATAAAAAAAAATATATCATACATGTTTTTCTTACGTTTTACGGGCAGATGATATAGCTCAACTAGTTTCGCAACCACAAAAATATTGAACAGTGTACCTTTCACGCAAAATGTGTGAATGAACATACAATATAGAGGGGTAGCGATTTGTGAATAAGATATAGAGATATTGGTGAAAAAAGTGAGTGGAAAGAGAGAAAGGGATTGACTACTTAAAACGATAGCTCAAATAGACCATGGGGAAAGAATAGAAAGAGTGAGAGAAAGAAAAAGCAAATGTGGTAATAAACAGAAATAGAAAGAGAGTGCGAGAGAGAGAGGGAGAGAGAGAGAAAAGGAGAGAGAAATAGAAATAGAGTGAGAGGGACAGAGAGATAGAAATAGTAATAGAGTGAGAGGAAGAGAGAGAAAGAGAGGCAGATAGGAGAAAGAAAAAGGGAGAATTAGAACGGGTAGAGACCAAAGAACAAATGAACCAGATTTGCATGTGAGATGATGAAGGAAATGGCAGAAAATGGGTAAAAATTGAAGTGTTAGAGACTGAGAAACGAGATTGATTTCCTGGAGTAATATGAAGTGCATTTAGGGCCTTTTTGGAGTGTGTGTACAAATAGCTGCAAGATGTCCCGGTCAAATGGAGTGCTAGATTCCCATGAAGGGGGAGGTTGGCTACTATTTCACATCAAATTGAATTAGGCCAAAAGGCAGTCTCTTGTAAATCAGTACTTTCGTTCATGTTTGCAATGACATTGTTTTAAACATAGACAGTGAATTACATACTTCATAGTCACATAGTCTACACATCTAAGTTCATTGGAATTTACATTCATAAAAAGATTGAAAGGCATAAAAGATATTATACCATTTAATGCAAGTGGGTTTTTTTTCTCTCTTTTTTTTCCATACATTTTTCAGCGAATGGACACATAGAAGAAGTAGACAGAAACACTGAATGGATGAAAACCAAGCAATCGATGATCATGATCATGTCAACGCCAGTGATGATCTGGCATATAACATTCCTCAAAGATAACTTAACCCCAAAGATTTTATCTCACTAAAACATGCTCATTTGTGATGCAATAGCCAATGATAAATGTTGTTAGATTTCAGTCTCATCATGTTCAGCTAACAGGATCACTCTCTGCCATGCAGTCCCTTGAGAGCTTGTATGCAATATTCCTAAAGTTTTCACTACCCATGATAAAAAATGCAACAAGCTTTTGCTGGAACTTCAAAAATGACTTACCGGTAGGTAGTTTCAGAACCCCATTACAAGTATTATTGCAAGTATGATACTGGTCAGCAAAAATCATGAATAAAACTTAATAATCCTGCCAGGATGTTGCCTGACAAATACAGTCATTACTAAGTATTTTTGTTTACTTTGACCTCACGACTATCAACATATTTGTCAAAAAATGTTTTACTTACTGTGTGTCAATGAGATAAAATAGCCTCTACGCTATTTCAAGTTTTACTTTAACTTTCCTTTAAGATAAGATAGAGCTAGTATTAGCGATAAACCTGCAATGATTATGCAATATGCATATATCGTCCTTGTTTTCACGAAGTGACAGTAATGAAAAAAAATTGCATTCACTTTCGTTACGATTTTCCTCACAAAAGTTAAGGGATTGAGATAAAAATGGAAGATAAAATTTGAGATAAAAAGCAGTGTCAAAATACCAATAGTATTTTTAAGATGAAATATAAAATATTTTAGAGATAAAATCATGTTAAAAATACCACCCTAAATACTAGTTTTAACCCAGCCTTTTCACACACGAGTACAATTCTTTAAAGCTGATTAGTTTAAAAAGAGCTATCAGCTTTACATACGACATCATTCACACACAGAAATTTCGATGCGACCGTTTCGTGGTTAACTACTCTTAAAATGTGCAGGTCATATCAAAGTGATAATCAAACAAAGCGCTCGCTCCATCCAGTTTAAACACGTATAACCGTGCACACACAAAATGTCAAGCTCTCTAGATACGGACTTCGTATCTGCAGCCTGCTTTGAACGGTGTATAAATTGCGACTTCGTATCTGTCCGAACATCGTACAAACGACGTTCACACAGGGAAAAATCTCTTTAAAACTGTTTAAAACTGTTGAGTTAAACAACTTAACTTAATTTTGAAAATAATCAGCTCTAGATACGATGAATTTTAGCTGTGTGTGAAAAGGCTGTAGGATGTGTGGAGATGACCAAGTGGCATGTGTTACATGGTATGACTTTCACGGCCAGAGTAATTAAGTCAGCCTCAGTGGTTTCTACATCTCTGAAGTCTAATAACAGAGCTTTTTCAAATTTGAATCTTAAACAAATAGCCTATAATACAATGGCATACAAAACTACATACTAAGTACTTAAGGACAATTAGAATGACTAGAGTATAGACTGTGAGTTCCTGATGCTTTTTCTGTATCGAAAAGACTAAGATCTTTGATCTAACTTAAATGTGAAAGTGTGTTTTATTTTCTGTACCTACATAGAAATAATAAGGGGAAATGATTGAGGTTAATGCACGGTCCTGCTTTACACATTAACAATTTTAATCTTATATCATTTTAATTTACTTTCTTTGTTAGCTACTTTCTTTATTAAAATCACCTGTAGACTGTCTAATTGAAAATTATTTTAACAAAAATTCATGAAGTCGAAACACAACAGCATTGAATAAAATAAATCTATGATTGAGGTTCTAATGACATCAAATCAGATGCTTTTAGAGCACTCATTTGATGAAGCATCAATGAAGAAGCCAAATCATATTCTTCATTAATATACTCTAAGTTCAAATTAAGGATAAGATGCAGGTAATGATTTCCTATCTTCAAATACATGTCTCTCAAATGCCTTCTATATTCTTAAAAACAATAAGGAAAATATTACATCTCAATGGTGTAATAGTTCTCATATAAGCATTTACACATACAAGCATGTTCTTTTGAAAATTAAAATTATACATTTACAATGGTATCATTCTCTAAGCCTACAAGGCCCAATGTGATCAACTGAGATAACAAGTTTTATCAGGACCTAAAAAACGCCACTCGAGATAGACAGTAGAGAAGACATAGATGAATACGTATAGTAGCAGTGCGGTCGAAATGAAACCGCCATGTAAGCAGAGTATGTTTACCCTCTCTACTCGAGCATAACCTTTTAAAACATGCCGCCAGAAATTTGGGCTGCCATGCGAGATTTAGCGATTGAATCAAGAGTGTAACAGACATGCCCTGTGTATACAGGTGATATGAGAGGGCATGAATAGAAGGAGGGAACATTTTTCTAATCATAGGTTTTGCATGTGTCAGGCATCTGTAGACGTCATGTTTACTCTTTTTGCAGAATCCTTGCAGGGCCTCAAATTTACACTAAAAGTATGTTTCAACATTTATAGGACTGCCATGCAAACATGTATTATCCAGGACACTCACAATTACAACAGGCCTACATGTAGTACATTGTTTGCTTCATGCACCTTCATTTAAATTTTAAAAAAATTATTGGGGAGAAGGGGGGGGGGATATGTCCAGGGCAAAGCATTGATGGTCCATTTGCATCAAGTTTATGTATAATTTGGGGAGTCCTTAGTGAAATTATGTGAACCATGTCTATTGGACCCTTCTTGAGGCAGCTAATTCAATTTTTAAATGGTTCATTATCATTCTGAAGGTTAAGTGTGAGTAAGCAAATCACCCAAATATCATCCAGTAAAAGGAGTGTTGCTATATCAGGTAAGCATCTCCAAAGCAATTAAATACCTTACAAACCCTTGACGTCCATAAACAAACATTTAAACCTATACAAGAGTGTTAATACTATGTCAAGTAGACCCCTTTACTGCCCTGAATACCAAGACTTAATGTGTAATATACATAACATCCACAGTCCATCAAATAGTGTTGATATGTTAAGGCCCGATCTCACCGCCAGAACTT